GTAGAAGTCCAGCTCCGGCCTGGCACGGTAGTCCCTGAGAAGCCCCAAGGCAGAGCCCGTTAGTACCAAAGACCCTAAGCAAGACCCCACCCAGGATCTGGGCCTGCTCGCCAGGGCTCAGGAGCGCCGGCCAGGGCGGCAGGGACAGTCCCTGGGGCAGAAATACCCAAGGCTCAGAAAGGATCTCCGGTGGATCAGCACGGAAGGACATTCTGGCAGATGCCGACCTTGAAGGCGCTGCACCCAGGCCAGTGGAACAAGCCAGTCACTAAACAGAAACCCTGGGTGACTCCGTTTGGGAAAAACAGTCCTAGAGACGACAGTGATGCATTTTTCCACAGTCAAAAAAAGGGAGCTGTGAGCACCAGTGAGAGAAAAGAATCGGAGGACCCACAAAACCTTCAGAGAGCCCACCCAGCCCCCCACGGGGAGGGACTCTCCCTGGACTCCTGCTGCAGGCAATGCCGCTCCAAACCAGCCCTTCCACGTGTCCACCTATCACACATCCAGGACTGATGCCTCAACAAGCACCCCCCAGAGCAAACACTGCTCCCTCCCTGCAATTTTGGGAGGCAGACATCACCACTCCAGCAGAAAGGTGAGGAAACCAAGGACTGGGGGGATGTGATCTTGGCCAACAGTCACTCAACAGAGCTGGGTGTCAAAATACGGCCAACAGATCACCAGCTGGTTCCGACAGCACGTTAGCCCTATGACAGTCCTCTTGAACTCTCCCCTTCTTAGAGGAGGGGGTGATTTAGGGAGCTTTTTTCCTTGCCGTAAACTCTGTCAAACGACACTCTCGGAACGGATACTCCCAAACTGCCGACACCAGAAACAGAACCCGGAGCCAGATGAGTTTCTGGGCTGACTGCTTCCAAATTCTTCAGTGTTCTCAGGGAAAAGCTGTCTGTCGACTCTAAGAATTTCAAGTCATGTGAAATGCCCTCAGCAAAATTCCGATGGGTCTATGAAAAAAACTGATAAATCAGACTTAGGCAAAATTTAAAAACTTCGCATCTCAAAAAATACCTTTTAAAAAAATTAAAAAGACAAGCCACAGATTGGGGAGAAAATACCTGCAAATCACATACCTGATAAAAGCCTTGCATCCAAAATGAGTTCCTAAAAAACTCTTACAACTCAATAATACGGTCAAGCAACCCAACAAAAAAACGGGCAAAAGGTCTGGCGACACTTCTCTGAAGACACACGAAAGGGACGCGCAACATCACTGGACGTCAGGGAAATGCAGATCAAACCCAGCGAGGTACCGCCTCACACGCATTACGGTGGCCGTCAGTCACCAAGCCCCAGGAGGCACTGTGGAGAGCGCGGGGCAATCAGAGCCACACGCACCACTCGTGGGAATGTAAGATGGTGCAGCTGCTTTGGAAGACAGCCTGGCGGTTCCTTGATAAATTAACATAGAGTTGTCACATGGCCCAGTAATTCCATTCCTCGGAACTGGAATTTCATCCCAAGAGAATTCGAAATACGTTCACATAAAAAATTCATACCGGCACTGTTCATAACAGCTAAAAAGTACAATGAACCAAACGTCTACCAACTGATGAATGGATACACAAAATGTGGTCTAGCTCTCCAACGGAGTATTACCCAGCCATGAAAAGGAATGAGGTACTGACATGTCTGCCAATGTGGACGGACCCTGAAAACCATGGTAAGTGAAAGCCGGTCACAAAAGGACACACGTATCATATGGGTACACACTTACAGGATATGGCCCAAACTGGCAAATCCAAAGAAACAGAAAGTAGACTACTGGTGGCCTAGGGGTGGGGAAGGGAGTGGGACTAACTGTAAACAGGCACAGGGGATGTTACAGGGATGATGGAAATATTCTAAAACTGGACTGCAGTGATGGCTGTACAAGTCAGGAAATTTACTAAAAAGCACTGTTATATTCTTATAAGAGGTATATTTCATACTATGTAAAGTATAGCTTGGCGAAATTGTTTTTTAAAAAGCCACAAAACCAAAATCTAACTGGGCCTGGAGTCCTCAGGTACCTCTATCCAGAGGCCCTTGCAAGGGAGTCTTGTTCTCTGAGGAGGAGGAGCAGGGAGGGGCGGATGGAGGGTGGGTGGAGGGAGGGGCGCCCTGCCTGAACAGCCCCCCAGAGGGAAGCTGTTCTGGCCTAGCCAGACACCTCATTCCTTCCACAGTCTGGCCTGGGCTGCACGCTCAGGCTCATTGTCTGGAGTGATGGGGCTCAAAGCCAAGGTCCAACTGTGGACCGTGAAAGAGGCCCCTGGAAGTCCCTCCAGTGCTCCCAAAGGCCACGCGCCACGAAGTGCGGGATGGCCTGACCAGTCCTCTCAAACACACCCAGTTTGGTAGCCCTGAGTCAGAGTAAAGCGGGCCCCGAAGCAGAATCTCAGGGAGGCTCCTGGGCGTTCAGACAGTTCTACTACTAACAGACGGACCAGATCCTGGTTGTAAATACAGGTAAAGCAGCAGTGGGAACCTAACCCTGCTCGCTCACAGAACGCACTCCACTAACTCAGCATTAAACCTCGAGAACCCTCAGTACATTATGTGTACGTTTATTAAGTGTGAACACAGGGCCTGTACAGATCGGGCACATTTGCTGAGGTTAATCTAAATCCTAATTAACCAGACCCCCCCCCCAGTTTCTCTGAAGTTGCAAAGAAATTCTTGGCTGCCTGTTTCCTGTCCTTCCCAGCTGGCATCCCTGGTGTGGTCCTCGATTAGAGCCCCTGCGTTCCCTAGGTGGCATGTCTCACAGAGCTGGGGCGTACCCAGGCCTGGGGGTCCAGTCTAACCAGATACAGCCGGCTACCTGGACACACTGTGGCCTCCCCAGACCCTGGACCAAGATCAAAGGCAAGGAGGCTGTGACCCCTCTGCTTCCCCAGGACCCAAAGCAAGGTTGCCAGACACACAACAGACTCCCTGCAAAGCTCTGTGGCGTGCAGGGCCTTGAACACCTACCTTTCCATGCCATCTCCGAAAAGCTCCTCTCCATCCTCTTCCTCCTCTTCCAGGGGCCCCTCTGTGCCCAGCAGCCCCTCCGACTCATCCTCAAAGGGAGGAAGGTCTCGGCCAGGGCTGGAAGTCAGGGCATCCGTACGCCGGGAGCTTCGCCCAGGACTGGAGGTGAGAGGGTCGTTGCCTCGACGGCGCGGGGCGGGGCTGGACGCCACTGTGAAGGACTCAGATGATTCCTGCAGGTGTAAATGGATTGAAGGTGAGCGCTGACTTACCTTCCAGTACGTCGACCCTCCGCACTAGTGACCCTGTCTTTCAACAACGCAAACCCCTTCCAGCCTCCAGACTCTGCACCTGCTGTTTCCGTTGCCTGGAATGCTCTGCGCCAATGGCCTCGCAACACCCGGACCAGCTCAAGGACCAGCTCCTCAAACAGTCCGTCATTCACCTTGGCCTGTTTTCTCCGTGACAAACCACCGAGGCTACTCACTTGCTGATTTGCCTGCTTACCGCCAACTCCCTTCATCTGCACTCATTCCCACCCATCTGAGGACCCAGTGCACCAGGAACTGCTTTGCGGCCACAACATGAAGGGTGTGAAACCCAGACTGGTGGGGACAGACAACAGTCTCGACTGCGGACAAGAACAGTACAGTAGGGAGGACCCGAGGGCGCGCGCTGGGCTCGGCCAGGGGCCCAGGCTCCCGGGGGTGCGGGGCCGCGGGCCCTGAAGCCCGCACGAC